CCGCGCTTTCCCTTTTATCTGCAATAAACTTTTAAACCGATACCTAGGAGCAGTGGTGTACTTCCCTTACTTCCTTTTCATTCAGGAAACACTTGTCCACCATGCTCATGGCTCCTATCCTCTCACCAAACAGATCCGCCTTTTTTTTCTCATTTTTTTTAATTTGGCCATTTGTGCACATGATTTCGGCCGTCGCAGGTGGGGTGAGCTGGAGCTGCCTCGTCTGCGGGAGACAGATGCTGGGCCAGTTCCCACCTGTGTGGGCCATGCAGGGGGATGTAAGACAGGAGCACGGCTCCTGCAGTTCCTTCAGTCATCTGGCCTCTGCCCCCATCATCCCGACAGCTGGCAGGACCTCCTGGATTTTGTTCATTATTTAAGCAATTCATTAAAGGTCTTGATACTGCACAGAGAACTCAGGGCAAGCTCTAGACAGTTCCGTGGTGAGGGAAGGAGAGAGAGATGCCTGGCAGTCACTCTCAGACATCTTACCAACTGTCTGGGATGTTCTCGGATGTTCCTAGAGGAAGGCGAGGCTGTTGCTGGAAGCATTTGAGAGTTTCGATTATTTCAGTGTTGCTCTGTTGTAATGTGGTAACACTTTGCTTGGGATAAACTCTGGCTGACCCCCCCAGAGGATATGAGCTTGAAAACACTTAGGGTTTTGATTTGGTCAGAGGAGGCGTCTTTGCTTTTGAAGCACAATCCCGTGGGCAGATTGGGTTTCTGGTACTCATCGTGCTTACAGGGTGAGGGCTGTGTCTTTTCTATTCCAATTTTTGTCTCCAAAGACATAAATGTATCTCTAATACTAAATCCAAGATGTGTGGGTAAAGCTGAGGAAGGGAGATTCAGAAAGAAAAATGGGGCACAGAGTTCCCTTCTTTCTTGATTGGAATCCTTGAATTATAAAATTACCTTCCTCCCTGAACTCTGGAGACCACTGAACCTCATCTGGGTCTGCCCCTTCCTGTCCTGGCATGAGCTGAGTGTAAATCCTTTATTCTGTGGTCCTGTGAGTCACAGATACCATGGATTAAAGATGACGGATAGAAAGGTTTAGTGAAGAAACATTTCTCCAGTGTGGACTCTCCAGCGTTTAAGAAAACCAAGTGCTGGGTTGGGCGAGTTGGCTCAGTGTTAGTTAAGAGAATGTACTACTTTTGCAAAGGACCTGAGTTTGGCTCCCAGCACCCATGGAGAGGCTGCTCACAATCGCCTGGACCTCCAGATTCTGGGATCAGAGACCTCTGAGGGCACCCACAATTATGTGTATGTACCCCTATATGCACACACATGGTTTTTAAAAAGGTGAAGGAAGGCACATGCTAGTAAATAAGTGTGATGAGGCAGGGACAGTCATGATAGCACACGCCTTCAATCCTAGCACTTGGGAAGCAGAGGCAGGTGGATCTCTTTTGCTTGAGGCCAGCCTGGGCTATTCAGTGAGACCCTCTTTCAAATTCCAACCAATTGGAGAAGGAAGAGAAAGAATTAGCCTTGTCTACAGCTTACAATTAACCTAGTGTTTATAGCCTTAAAAGTGGGTTTATTAAGGTGATCTGTTTAATTTTCAGCGCCAACTCTTGATTTTCGCAGTGTTTTACGTCACCCAGGGTGGCTTTGAACCCCTAATCCTCCTGCCTCATATTGCAGGCTTGTACCACCATGCCTAACACATCAAGATAGAGCTTACAATTCATTGAGTCGCCATGCAACCCTCCTAAACATGCGATTCTGCCTCCACACCCCACCCTGCCCTTCATGTTGCTAATCCAATCCAATCCCATTTAGTGCTCTCCAATTAAAATGTTCTGGTGTTTTCGTTTTTTTTGTTTGTTTTGTTTTGTTTTTTTGCTGATGACCTTGTGGAGACAGCACCCCTCCTTTATATCTTTAGCTTTCATTTAAAATTCCCATCTTTCATATTTTGGTCATTGAAGCCTTGAAATGGAGCTGTAATCCGAGTAGCACGTGTAATAAGCAGACTCAGCATGGGCCAACCGATCCGTCTTCAGTGTCACTATGTGATGTTATTTCAGGGGAAGTGTAAGAGGGTGAAGGGCTTGGCTGGCAATAGGGAATAGCACCGGGGAAATCAGTTCCACACACTTCCAGTCTTCTGGATCTCGAGGCCACAGAACCTTCAGGAACCGTCAGTACCTGTGTGTCCTGTGCCGACCATTGACCCGTGAGCAGTGACAGCAAGGGGAGTGCTGAGTTCTGTGAGGTCTTTCCCTCTGTCTTTCAGTGTGTGTGTGCGTGTGCACAGCCCATATGTGGAGGTCAGAGGACAGCCTCCTGTTTGAGCCTGGGTCCCTCGCTGTTCACCAAATAGTCCAGCTTAGCTGGCCCATTAGCTCCAAAGACCTACCTGTGCCCATTTCTTGCCATCTCTGGGGTTACAGGTGTGTGTCACCACACCTGCCTTTTATCATACAGTCTGGGGATCCAAACAAACTCAGGTCTTAGATTGGAAGGCAAGCACCTTACCCACTGAAGGACCACTCCTGCTGATGGCTGGCTTTTTATGAGTTACAGGAACAAATCTGGGTTATCATGCATGCATATCAGGCCCTTTATAGCATAGAGGGAGCTATCTCCCCAGCCCACATTTAGCAGTATTTTTAAAAATATAACTTATTTTTTACTTTATGTGCATTGGTGTTTTTCCTGCATGTATATCTGTGTGAGGATGGATGCTGGATCCCCCTGGAACTGGAGTTACAAACAGCTGTGAGCTGTCACGAGGGTGCTAGGAATTGAACTAGGGTCCTCTGGAAGAGCAGCCAGTGCTCTTAACCTCTGAGCCATCTCTCCAGCCCCATAGCAATATTTTTAAAGAAAACAGGTGTTTTCTGGGCTGTGGGAACAACAGCTGTGACCCCTTGAAGCCTTCTTTCTGTGACCCCCTTCCCTGTGCCCCCAGTTCTCACACAGCCCTTGCCAGGAGAACCTTGTCCTCTGATTCCCTCCCTCTCCCCTCCCCCCACCTTGCCAGGAGATCCTTGTCCTCTGAACCTCTCCCCCAATCCCAGTGTGGCCTGGGATCCTCCTGTCTCTGTCATTTGCTCTGCATATGATTGCTTCATGACTCTTCATATAACTGCCGCTAGTAATGACGTGTTCAGTCATCAATTCTGAAGAATGGAGAGCTGACTCAGCAGTTAAGAGCACTGGCTGCTCTTCTACAGGGCCCAGGTTTGATTCCCAGCACCCACATGGAGGTTCACAATCCTCTGCATCTCCAGTTCCAGGGGACCTGATGTCCTTGTCTATCTCCAGGCACTGCATGTTTATGTTGTACAGACAAACATGCAGGCAAAACACCCATACACATACAAACAACTAAAAAATTTAATCATCAGTTCTCATCTGAGGAGATCTTACTATTTATAAAGCTCACATATTCTTCTTAACCTGTATCTAGTCACACAGAAACATGGTTTTATGTGTTAAGTTTTTAGATGTTTTTTAAAAAGCAGAGTTGGATCTTAAAATTTACTTATCTTATGTGTTTGAGTGTTTTGCCTGCATATATTTATGTGTACCGTGTGTACTTTGTCCCGTTGGAGGCCAGAAGAAGGTATGGGATCCCCAGCAACTGGAGTTCTAGATGGTTGTGAGTACCCATGTGGGTGCTAGGAAGCAAACATGGCTCCCTGTAACATGAATGTTTTCTTGGTCCGGCTAGGTCCTGCTGCCCTTCTCTACCTCAAAGAAACACACGGATGCTATAATAATTATGAAACTGTTGGCCATTGGTTGTGGTTTCTTATTGGCTAGCTCTGTCTTAATCATTAACACATTTTCTGTTCATCTAAGTATTCCCTCGTGGTCTTCTCTTACTGGAGAAAGGTCCGGGGACCTGTTACTCCTCTGGCATCCTACATGGTGACTGACTTAGTGTGTCCGTAGAGAAGAGAAGAGGGCAATTTCCTGTTTGTCCCTGCTTATAGCCTGGTTCTGCCCACCTACGTCACTTCCTGCCTGTCTGTACAGACCTCCAGCTAGTGGCAGTGTCTGCCCAGTCAAGTCACTTCCTGGGATCACATGACAACTCCTCACTGCCTACACTTCCCACAATCCTCCTCATATCCCAGTCCCACCTATCTTGGCCAACAGTGCTTTATTCGTTAACCAATAAGAGAAACATATTTACAGAATGACGTCTCCCATCAGTCCCCTGTAAGAACAGTCAGTACTCTAACCCTAAGCCATCTCTCCAGTGCCACCCCTCCTTTTAGGTTTTAACATGTGTATGTGCTGGTGAACATACATATGTGTGCATGAACGCTGTGGCATGTAGAGGTCAACTTGTGGGGGTTGGTTATCTCCTCCTACCAGAGATCAAACTTGAGTGAACAGACTTGGCAGGAATTGAGTACCATTATCCACAGCGCCATCTTTCTGGCTCCAGAGTTGGGCTTTATTAAAAGGTAATTTAACTGATTTAGGCATTAGTAGAAAGAGATGCTCAGGGAAAGAATGGGATACATCCAGGAGCGTGGGTGTGGGCTTTTAAAACCAGTCACTGAGACACTATTTTGTAGGGAAAACATGTTTTTAGGACCATGGATGATGGATTTCATCCCTAGCATACCAGGGCCCTGGATCCCCACCATTACAAGGAAGAATAAAAAATAAAAAGGATAATAAAAGTCTGGCTTTCATGCTAGTCTGTAAGCTCAGAGTGGCAAGACTTACCCGAGTTCTTCCCTATAGTTTCTGAAGCAGGATCTTGACCAGAGAATGGACGAAAGAACAAATTTGCAGACTTCTGCACACACTTCACATATCAGGGTCAAGCTTTTGGTGTTAGGACATCGTGTATTCTATATCGCTGCTGAAGATGGATATGGAACTTACATCATCATCATGTAGCCTCCATTCCTCTGTGTTCCTCCATTTCATAATCTGTACTCTGGAAGTCGAAGCATTGCTCTTAACTTGGATAAGTGAACTGAACTCACGTTTACATGGCCTTGTCTTCCCCACAGCTCCTACAGAAGAATGGCCAGCTGTCTGCTGTCAATGGCGTAGCTGAACAAGGAGATGTCCATGTCCAAGAGGGAAACCAGGATGGGCAGGAGGAAGAAGTCATTGTCGAAGACGGTAAGCTGTCCTTGCAGGCCTGGCTGGCTTTGGCAGGGCACTAGGAACTGGAGGGCAGATTGTACTTGTAGTGAACCAGAACTGAATTGTCACATGCTACCAACATAAAACACTTTAGTGCTGCCTCATGGTGGATGATGTCAACAATATATTCCTCTAGTCTCAAAAAGAGATATTTGACTGACCCTTTGGGTAGCTCCTGTGCTCAAGGGTTGACAATCACACTCTCTTCAGTATTCTTACCTAGAACTTAATGGGGTTTTCTGCTTGTTCATTTAAATCATTGTCCCTTGCCGGGCACGTCTTTAATCCCAGCACTCGGGAGGCAGAGGCAGGCGATCTCTGTGAGTTTGAAGCCAGCCTGATCTACAGAGTGAGTTCCAGGACAGGCTCCAAAGCAAAACAGAGAAACCCTGTCTTGAAAAAAAATCATTGTCCTTTATTCATGTGTGAAGTCAGATGTAAACTCTCATTGGAAATACTAAAGTCATGTTTGCTGGCCCAACATCTCCCCAAACTAAAAGCTAAAGTAGCAATTCAGCATCACTCTAGAGAAGTCTGTGTCGCCCACACAGACTTCCTGGCAGATGCAGACATCTGTTTGCCTGGACTGTGATGTGTTTCATAGCTTTCAGCTCTTGAAGAGAGGAGGTGTCGATGGGCTGGTGCATCTTTAACCAAAGATGCTTCCATGGGGCAGGAGCATTGGGGTCATGTCCCATTCATTGAGCTACTCAGCAGGTACAGGTGATTGCCACTGAGCCTGCCGATCTGAGTTCAATGCCCGGGACCCACATGATAGAAAGAGTGAACTGACTGCTGAAAGTGGTCCTCTGACCACTCAGGCGCACTCGAGGTATGTAAATAAATAAATCAACATAATTTTAAAAAGATATATTTAATGAGGGTTTGACATGTGCTAACTTGACTCCTATGTGCAATATAAATAAGAGACAGATGAAAGGGTTGGGCATTGCCTCTCTGGATAAGAGTCTTTGAACACATGGAACCCGTTTCTCCTCTCCTATGGCCCCACAGTGCTGCGTCAAGCCGGGAGCTGCTTTGAAGTTGGTGGGAACACTGATCTTTATATATTACCACAGGCACCATATAAAGTTAGAAATGCACACGGAGTCTCACAGACGGAATATTTCCCTGACCTAGTGTGAGAGTTTCAAGTAATACTCACCAGACAGCTGGAGTGGACCCAAATCAAATTCCCAAGGCCAATACTTTGTCCGTTCCACGTTCATTTTCAATTAAACGAATAGAGGCTTGTCTGTCTGTGTGTGTAAGGTTGTGTGTGTACAGCTGCATGTTTGTATGTGTGGAGGCTAGAGGACAAGCTCAGGAGCCAGCCACTTTGTTTTTTCAGATAGCATCTCTCACTGGCCTGAAGCTTTTCAAATAGGCTCGGCTGGTTGACCAGTAGTCCCTGGGGATCTGCTTCTCTAGCACTGAGATTATATGTTCATGCCACAGTGGCCTGGCTGTCTTAGTGGATTCTGGGAATCCGACTCTGGGAACTTTATGGACTGTGCCACCTCTATAGCTCTCCAGTGACTTTGAAAAAACTCCGTGGAGTCATTGTGGCACAGGTGCTTCTGAGAAGTTTATCACCAAGAATGGGTTTTCAACTTCCAATGCTTTCCAATGGGGGACACGGGAAGGCAGTCAGTTGAAGATTGAATACAGTAAAATGTCAGGCTAAGACGAGGCTGCATGAGGTGAGAGCTGCTGGGAGTTCAGAGGTGGCATAGCACCCAGGGCAAGAAGAGAAGTCAGATTCGGATATGTCAGCATCAGGGCTGGGGCTTCAGTTCAGTATTTGGAGCACTTGTGTACAGTGTACAAAGCCCAAGTTTGATGTACAGCACTGCAAGAAATGTTTATTAGTAGAACTGAGGACAACGAGTGTCAACACTTGATGTGGCCACCGCCTACATCACGTTAGGGTTAGAAGTCGTGGCCTTGTGTGTTCTAAGCATGTCACCATCTGCCTATTTATCTGCATCAGCAGCAGCAGTAGTCACAACAATGTTGTGGGCTAGGCAATATTCTTGGGACTTGAGCCAACGTGATTAGAACCTTGAACTGATAATTAACCACTATGCAGTCCCCATGCAGGACACATATGAAGCAGCATGGAGGAAATTTCTAATGAGCCTAATCTGCTGGCCACTGGCTGCTGTGAATGTCACCAGAATAAGATTACAAGCTTACAGAAAGTGGCATGAGATTTAAAAAAAAATATTAATTTGATTTGATTGCATGTTTCTGGAGCATAACTTTGTAGATGACAAAACTGTGTTGTAGTGTCAAAACTATGGACAGACCTGAAAGAAAAACAGGGACTAGATAAGAGGGATAATCAGTGTTGTAGAGAGAAGCCTTCCCGCCACCCTGGTTCCAGAGCTGCATCAGTCCCAAATGAACACACAGGAGGCTATATTAATAATGAAGCTGTTGGCCGTTTGCTTGGTTTCTTACTGGCTATCTCTGACTTAAGTATTTACTCCATAACTGTTAATCTAAATATTTCTCTTACTGGAGAAAGGGTCCGGACTTCTTACCCCTATGGAGGCTACATGGTGACTCCCTGTGTTTCTCCTTCCCAGAGTCCTCCTCAACTCCTAGTCCCACCTATCTTGCTTCCCTATTGGCCAACAGTGCTTTATTCAACAACCAATAAGAGACAGATTTCAGAATGACATCTCTGATCACAGTGTGATTTGGAATACTTTGTGGACAGATGAAATCACTGAAATATGACCATGTCAGTCCTGAGGATAGAATTCAGGTTATCAGGCTTGGTAAGAGGTACCAGGACTAAGCCATATTGACATGCATACCTCAATATCCATCCTTTCATGCATGCATCCATCCATCCATCCATCCATCATGTGTGTGTGTGTGTGTCTGTGTGTACCACAGTACATATGTAGAAATGTGTGTGTGTGTATGCTACAGTGCACATGTGGAATTGTGTGTGTGTATGCCACAGTGCACATGTGGAATTGTGTGTGTGTGTGTGTGTGTGTGTGTGTGTGTGTGTGTGTGTGTGTGTGTGTGTATGAGCGCGCGCCACAGTGCGTATGTGGAACCCAGAGGACTGCTCACTAGAGTCAGTTTTTTCTCAACTTCTATGTGTGTGAAATCCAGTGATGGAATTTCAGTTGTCAGGCTTGGCCACAAGCACCTTTATTCATTGTGCAATATTGCAAGTCCATGAGTGGGCTTCTTATGTGGCCTAGCTGATATGTAGGCTAGATGTATGGGATGGCATCACACACACACGGCCCATAAGATCCTGCAACCGTGGTGTCCCTAAGCGTCTGTGACACGTTTCCTAGAGGCTTACTGTTTGCCATCTCCCTTTCCTCCAGATGTGTTCTCTCAGGACATTGCAGCCACATGACTAAACACCAACTTTTATAGAAACCCATTCTGTCCCCACCCATGACTATCCCACAGCTTCCCTGAGCAGACCCAGGCTGTTGACCATGGCTGACCTGGGAAGTCTGGGCACACACCAAATGTTGAACTCCAGGAGAATGGAAAGAAACAGACTGCCCTTCAGAAGACCCCAAAGAAAGCTCAACTTCTGGGAAAGGCTAACCATCCCTGGAGAGGGCTCTAGACGCCATGAGAGGCTCTTCTAGAGGCCTGTGCTATAAGCAGCTGTGATATTCCCTTGATTTTGTCTTTATCTTATCTGCCTGGTCATAATAATTCACAGCCCAGCAGTGTTGATGCAGACAGAATCCTCATGTTAAATTCTTTAACAGCCTTTTTTCTTGCTTTTCTTTGGATACCAGTGTTAAGCCTGTGGTTAGGTGCTTACAATTTTTTGTATGTATATTTATTTGTGTGTGTGCGCGAAGAGAAGTCAGAGGACAGCTTGTGGGAATTGGTTCTTAAGTTTCTTTGGGAGCTCTAGGAATTAAACATGGGTTGCCAGGCTTGACAACAAGGCCCTTTGCTCATCCCTGCCCCACCCCCCAGCTCTATTACTACCTGTTAGATGCTATAAGGGAGAAGTGTATGTATGTGTTCATGTATGTGCATGCATGCATTCAGAGACTAGAAGGGAGCGTTACCACTCCTCTCTGCCTTATTTGGAGTGACTGGATCCCTCACCACACCACAAACTCGTGGTTTCACCAGCCAGCTTCCTGATTCTTCTGTCTCCACCTGTCTCCCCCCGACCCCCACCCCACTCCCAGTACTGGTGTTATAGCACCTCACAGCCCTGCCTGGTTTTCACGTGGGTCCTGGGGATTCAAACTCAGCAAGTGCTCTTACACCCTGATCTGTCTCTCCAGACCCCTGTGGTTAGGGTTTTGTGGTTATTTCTGGAAATCAGAATCTACTTGAAAGATGACGATTGTGTAAACAGAAACATAGTTTGAGCATGTAAATACTTGATTGTAGGCTTTGGAGGACTTTGCTTTCTACCATGGTCCACTTAATAATAAAAACAAGTTTGGACCTGTGTTGATCCTTGGGTTGGCCATTGGTGAAATTTAGCATTTGATTAGCTAAACTGATGAGTCAATTACCACCAAGGGACATTCCTGCTGAAGAAGGGTTACTCTAAAGAGATAGGTGATATTTATGAGGTTGCAGGTGTAGCTCAGTGGTACAACACCTAGACAGCATACTTGGGACTCTGGGTTTGAGTTGCAGCATCACCGAAAAGAAAAAGAAAAATGTCATCTTGGTATGGTAATTGATGCCTGTCTATAATCCCAGAATTTGGCAGACTGAGGCCGAAGGATTGCTTCATAGTTCAAAACTAGCCTGGACTACATATACAGTGAGTCCCAGAGCACTTCTGAATCCAATTTTCTGTATTTTAATTCAGTGTTGTGATAAGATACTCTGGCAAAAGCAATTAAGACAGGGTTTATGCTGGCTCACAGTTCAAGGTACAGCTCCATGGCAGAAAGCTTGTCACCCAGAGCTTGAGGCTGGTCACATGGCATCTGCAGCCAGGA